CAAAGACCCTATTCCAGATAAGGTCACTTCTGTGTCCTGGCGCTGGGTAGGCTGGAGGTACTAGGGGTTAGGACTTCAATATATGAATTTTTTGGAATACAATTCAACCCCTAAATACTCTAATATTCCAAATCTGAACAGATTATCTAGTTTTAGATATCCTTTAGATCCTTTTAGAATCCTTTAAATACATCAAGGCCTCCCCTCCAAAATGGGACAATGGTATAAACATACTGACTTTGGGATTGTCCCCTGAAAAGCCATGGCTCAGCCAGGTACAACACAGGACTCTCTGACCCTTATATTCAAGCCATGGCTTGTCTGGGCCTGAGATACTGCCTGCAAGTCTGGTTACCCAACTTTTAGAAGGATCCAAGGAACTTGGAGAAGGTCCAGGAAGAGAGTGGCACAGAAGGCCTGTTCTCCAAGGGCAGGCTGATAAGAGGTCCACGTTGCATGCAGAGGGAGCTGTGGCAAAGGTGAGCATGTGTCTGCTCCATCACGCCTGCCATGTTTGGCTTAGATTCATGACAGGACAAATCCTAGAGTGAGACTAGAAGAAGCAGTAAAGCTTAGGTGGTTCAGGCTGATATTACAAATAAGCTCCAGGGAAGCAAATCCAAGTGGGTATGACAGACCTGTAGCACTGCCCAGCAGACCCACCCAAAGTAACTGGGCAGATTCTGTCCTCTGGAGAATTGGCATGGAGATTGTTAGGTCTTGCTTCAGACCAGCCCATGTGGCACTCACTGCTGCTTTAAGATATAGCAAGGTGGGCCAGGAGTGGTGGCTCATGCCGGTAATCCTAGCATTCTGGGAGGCCAAGATGGGAGGATTGCTTGAGTTTAGGAGTTCAAGACCAGCCTGAGCAAGAGCAAGACTCCATCTCTACTAAAATAGAAAAACTAGCTGGGAGTTGTGGTAGGAGCCTGTAGTCCCAACTACTTGGGAGGCTGAGACAACAGGATTGCTTGAGCCCAATATTCTGAGGTTGCTGTGAGCTATGATGCTATGGCACTCTACCAAGAGTGAAACTCTGTCTCAAAAAGGTATAGCAAATTGGAACATAGTTCTAATTTGGGGAAAGAAATCTTTTAATTGGAAAATTCTGAAGTCTTTCTATTTTTATCACTTTTAATGAACATGTGTTTGCCTGTAATAAAAATTAAAAAAATTTTAAAAAAAGACCTAGTGACTTAAAAATAAAAAAACAAAAGACCTAGTGAGAAAGGAAGATGTGGACTAGCTCGTCCAGCTGATATGCTGTTTTTCTACAAGTTAGATGTCAGGATAGCACATTCAGACATCTAACTGAATCTGACTGATTTAGTTTAGCAAATATTCCTAGAGTTTGAGCAGTACAAGATGTATTCCAGAAAAAGTCTCTAACTTCAAGGAATCTGGAATGTTAAAAAAAAAAAAAAAACTAACAGATAGGAACAATTAGAGGGCAGAACAAGACAGTATCTCCTAAGTCCAAAGCCATAAATGAAGGCTCATAGGCTGAGAAGCGTGGGGTGGATCAGGGTGAGGGCTGGGCTTCTGCCTGGCTTTGGCACTTGGAAAGGATTTAGGAAAGGGTTAGAAAGGATTTAGGTCCTACCTTAGTAGGGGGAAAATATCTTACCAATTCCCTCGTTTCCTCTAAGTCTATTTGGTTTCTCATCCTTCTCTGCTGGTATGGGTGGGTAGTCCCAGGGGCTTCTACATCTAGCCTAGTTATTGCCTTAACTCTGCTGGGATTGCAGTCAACACTGTCCCTGGCCACCATTCCTTCACAGCCAGACCGATACTACCTGGCCGCAGAGCATGGGGGACCATCCCTGCTGTTGCCCTGTGCTGGGTGGGCTGGAGGCCTCCTCCACCATGAAGCCACCCTACACCAAGAAGACACTGAGCACAACTCCCTCTGAGGGTTCATACCTCCAGCCCCATTTCACCCATGAGCCACCTCTGAGGCTCGGTCCCTTCTTCTTTCCTTTGTCTCTAGTCCCTTGACACCCTCCTCCCTAGCATGAGTCATCCTGAAGTTCTCACAAGTAATCAGCACTGCCCCAGACCAAGTGGAGGTCTCAAAGCCAACACTGCAGATGCTGCCAGCACACTCTGCCAACTCACTGCTGAGCTACCTCTCTGACTCCCCTGAAACCCATTCTCATCAGTTACATCTTGGGTGTCTACCTTTTTGGACTGGTCTCTAATCTGTCTTGAGGCTTCCACAAGATTCAACATCACTGCAACCACCTGGGATGTCTTCAAAGCACTCTTTCAACTCATTGGCTTACAGGGCCCATCGGTAGCACTGTGGGACCCTAAGTATAACCTCCCCAACTGGGTATTCATGGCCTTGCACATGGGGCTGCCATGATGCCCCTTTCCTTTCCAGTTCTCTTATGGTGGACACATGCTCACTGACCCAAGCTCAGCTCAGGAGAGGGATTTGTCTATCCCCATGACCACCTGTGTGTGGGGACTCCATCCTGCACTTCTTTTGATGTCAGTATCTTGGATGCGGCTTCCAATTCTGCTCCCCGGCAGGGATCTTCAAGGTCCTCTCTGAGGCTGGGGCCTATCCCAGCCAACATAACTTCCTGGCTCACTCTGCCATATTGATGTTGCCAACCCAAGGCCCAGCCTATGTATTAGTAGTCCACCATAGTCAGAGGGCCACCTCTGTACAGACCTGTAAGCCCAGAACAGTTTCAAATAAACACAACTTCTTGGGCCTGGTGTGTTGGCTCATAGCTTTAATCCCAGCACTCTGGGAGGCCGAGGCAAGTGGATTGCCTAAACTCACAGATCAGAGACCAGACTGAGCAAGAGCAAGACCCCGTCTCTAAAAATAGCTGGGCATTGTGGCAGGCAACTGTAGTCCCAGTTGGGAGGCTGACAAGAGAATTGATTGAGCCCAAGAGTTTGAGGTTGCTGTGAGCTGTGATGCCATGGCACTCTACCAAGGGTGACAAAGTAACACTGTGTCTCAATAAATAAATAAATAGACATAGCCTCTCTTTGTGTGGGAAAAATTAGAATAGAACTAGGGTCTACCAGATGTGGACACGAATTCCCAGCTCTGTAACTTACTAGGTCTGGGACTTAAGCAAGACATTTGGGCTGTCTGAGCCCCGGTTTTTTCAATGGTGTAAAAGGAGAAAGACATACCCACCCCATACGTTTTTTCTGAGAATTAAATGAGCTTGCATCTATAGAGTAAAAGGATTCTGTTTGATCCATGGTAGCTGCAACAAATATTATTTAGTTCCCATCTTTTTGGGATGTCTCTGGCTTCAACCTATACCCATATATTGTCATCGTGGGAGTATATATATACTTTTAAATATAATTTTGTCTTCTTTTTTCCCTTGCACACCATATTTATTGCTTTTTCATGGTGGCATTCCACTGGAAAAATGTACTATGCAGATTTAATCATCTCCTTATTGAGAGCAGTTTTAGTAGTTTCCAGTTTCTAGTAGAGCACATGTTGCTTTCTTTTTCTGTGGAGTTGTTTCTGCAGGATAAAATTCTCCAGAGTGGCATTACTGGGTTACAGGGTAGGCACATCTTTCTGGCTCTTGTTCAGTGTTGCCACATCCTCCACAGAACACTGGGCTGATTCATGTGTCCCTAGCACTGCACAAGTAGGCTTCATTCCCTTTTAGCATTGCTGATTTTCAGCTGAATCCTTTCTTCCCCCTCTCTTTGTGGTTAGAGTCATTTAAGGCTACAGGTGACAAGCCATTAATTTTTTTTGTTTTATTTATTTTGCTAATTAATAGATATCCAGTGACCAGGTCATACTTGTTGATAGTGAAGAATAAAAAAGAAAAAAAAAAGGAAAAGAATAGGAAAAAAACAGATAACTAGTGGTATCTCAGGGAAATTTTGATTTATTTATTATTTATTTATTTGTGAGACAAAGTCTCACTCTGTTGCCCTGGGTAGCATGCCATGGCATCATCATAGCTCATAACCACCTCAGACTCTTGCCTCAGCCTCCCAAGTAGCTGGGACAACAGGCGCCCACCACAATGCCCAGCTAGTTTTTCTATTTTTTTAGTAGAGTCTTGTTCTTGTTCAGGCTGGTTTCAGAATCCTGAGCTCAAGCAATCCACTGGCTTTAGCCTCCCAGAGTGCTAGGATTATAGGCACGAGCCACTTGCCCAGCTTGATTTACTATTGTTTTTTGTTTATTTGTTTGTTTTTGCAGTTTTTGGCCTGGGCTGGGTTTGAACCCGCCACCTCTGGCATATGGGGCTGGTGCCCTACTCCTTTGAGCCACAGGCGCCACCTGATTTACTGTTTTTTTAATTATTAATGAGAATAATCTTTTCTGCCATGTTTTTTAGTTTACTAATCATATTTCTTTAGATATTAATCCCTTCTGTGTGCATCAATTTATGAACTTGTATTGGTTCCTTATACATTTTGGATAGCATGAATTAGTTATATTCATGGTATATATTTTTTCTACTTCATTAAATTTAATTTGAGTTTTGTGTCTTCTTTAGAAGTCTGAATTTATATGTAGTCTAACCCATCTATTCTGCTTGTGTTGTGGGGAGTACAGGCTATGGCTTTTCTCTGGGCTGCATGTGACAGGGCTTTTTCTTTTCTTTTTTTTTTTTTTTGAGACGGAGTCTCAAGCTATCCCCCTGGGTAGAGTGCCATGGCATCACAGTTCAGAGCAACCTCCAACTCCTGGGCTCAAGCGAGTCTCCCGCCTCTGCCTCCCAAGTAGCTGGGACCACAGGCGCCCACCACAACGCCTGGCCATTTTTTGGTTGCAGCCATCATTGTTGTTTGGCGGGCCGGGCTGGGGATTCGAACCCGCCACCTTAGGTGTACGTGGCTGGCGCCTTAGCCGCGCCGAGCCGGCAGGGCTTTTTCTTAAAGGGGTGACCAGAGGCTGGGGCACGGTGGCTCATACTTGTAATCCCAGCACTTTGGGAGGCTGAGGCAGGAGGATGGCTTGAAACCAAGAGTTCTAAGTTGCAGTAAGCTGTGATCATACCACTGTACTCTGCCTGGGTAACAGCAAGGCCCTGTCTCAGACAAACAAATAAAACAAAACAAAGACAAAAAAGAGTGGGAGTTAAAGGGATGACTGAAATTTTTTACTTGTGTCCCCTGCCACATGGGCTGGAGGGTCCTGTCTCAAGCAGTTTTGTTTTCTGTCCCAGGTCTGCCACGTGAATCTGGAAGGGCAGCCATTCTACTCCAAGAAGGACAGACCCCTGTGCAAGAAGCACGCACACGCTGTCAATGTGTAGGGGGTGGAGGCGTCTGGTGCTGACGGGCAGAGCTGCTCTTGCTGCTGGCAACAAAGGATTCAAGGAGGCTGTTGTTTCTTTTGGGGGGAAGGGGAGAAGAGAGGAAGCAATTGAGCCCCTTTGAAGTATAATTTTAGTTTTTTCTTCAGTGCACAGATCGTGTATTTGCATAGTTCCAACTAGAAGCCAAAAGAAGATTCAAAACCAAGCTAGTAATTAATCCAAGACTGGAATTGTACTTCAAACGTTTAGAGCAGAATTCCAAGAACTCAAAAGTGAAAAACAAAAAGCAAGTTTCCCAAAGTGATGCATTTCCCTGCAGTCACCAGAGTAGGGACAGAGCTCAGAGCAGTTATGGAGAATCTGAAGCATTCTGCAGAGTTCTTTAGAGCTCCCCTGGCAAACAGAATGAAGTGCCAAATAGTCTTTGCTGCAGGGTATTTTTAGAGTCATAGCTGAGAGCTTGTTAGCTAAGACCTATTGGGCTTTCCTCACCAAAAAAGGAAGTGTTGTTCCATCACTAGCATCACAGAGCTACCTCTGCTCATTACACTTCAGACCTTGAACAAACTTGAAACGTTCTAAGGGGAGCCCCAATGTCCAAAGAAATGTCTTTGGGGAGCCACTGGGCAGTTGCCAGGGCTCCAGGAAGGACTCTGGCGCACACTGTAGACAGCTGAGAAAGATGGGCCCTTCAGCTACCCTCTTTCACTTTGAAACATCCAATTTCCCCAGAAGGCTTAGCTCCTTCTTGAATTGGGATGGGAAAGTGGGATTGGGTTTTTCCAGTTTTGCTTTGCAGTGTACAAGAGGAGATTTTAAAGCATTTGGGTTGTGTTTGGCCCTTTTTTTTTTTTTGCTTTAAGAGGTTTGTTAGCTTGAGTGTCAGGTCCTGTGCATGTATTTCACCCCCAATCTGTGACTGTTCACTCATGACATCTTCCTTAGTACCCTCTATCTCAAGTGGCTCAGTGGTCTATGGAAAAGAGAGAGAGTGTGTGTGTAAAACAGGATGGCAGAATAGGCTGACCTGCCCCATCTCTGGGTGGGGAAAAGGAACCTTGCTTTCTGCCAACCTCAGTAAGAATGCATGGGGGTGGGGGGCAGGACCTCTCACCTTCAGGTCTGCACCAACCATCCTTTTCATATGTTCCTTTAAATGCAGTAGAACGTTTATGTACAGTTGTGTTAAGTGCTGGAAGGAAAAAATGGACTGATTTATATGCATTTGCCATTTTGGCCAGTATTTTGAAAATGTTTGAGCTGAGTTGATCTAGCAATTAGTTAAGAATTTATTAAAGTAGACTTGGGCCTTCAAACTTCTTTACAATATTAGTGACAGTTTGAGTTAGGTAAACATTTTGAAGCTGTTTGGTGATAAAGAGAGAAGCTTAATCCCTGAAGTTGGAAATGGGATAGTCACTTTCCTTTTTAGGAAGTACTGTTATTGTGCTCATTGAAAATGGCATTGAAGCAGGCAGTTTACGGGGATGTTTCTCCCTTGAGCACGATATTAGGCACCCTTCCAATCACTGCTACCCTGTCCTTACTCTTGTTTGGGATTTTTCTCTTTGCACGTTTGAAATGTTTTACAGGAATGCACTTAGAACTCTTTTTCTTCTGAGAACGGAGACTTCCAGGGGACCACTATCTGCCAGCATGTATCTCTTCTCCCTGAGGGAGAAGGAAGCCACTAGCTGTGTCCCTAGCAGGAAGCCTGAATTTTTTCCAAGCATGAAGCCACCAACCTCCCCCAGGGAATACCAGGGAGGGACATGAGCATGCACCTACCACAGGACTGTTCTTACCACCTGTGATGCTATAAGAAAGTGAATACGAAGTACCAGGCAGAGTAAAATCTGCGACTGATAAAGAGTGCAAACAAGTACCTTGTAGTATTCTATTGTGTTTGGAAAGTTCAAATATACAGGGACAAGGCGGTTGCTGACTTCACAGAATAGCTCTAAGTAGGTTTTCTCCAAAACCAATCTATTAAATTATCCGGGACTGGTCTTGAGGAAAGAAAGAAGAAAGTTCCCTAGAGTTCAGTTTCCAAAATCTCTTTTTAAAAGTTTTATACACAAACACACACACGCGATCCTTCAAATAGGTATGATTAAGAAGAAAAGTGAAATATCTCCAAGGACAGTTTCACCATAGTCCTTTATCAAATTGGTATTTTTCCACATCTCAGAGCTAGTGTAGATTCTGAGGTACTCTTTTATTTATGGAAAAAATTCAGGGCAAATTTTAAAAAATCATTTTAAAAGTAGCGGGAAAAGGCGGTAGTTTTGAGTGGGGTTCACGCAGTGTCTGTAAGCCTGACCATAGTGTCAGGATTAAGATTGTATTTAGTTCAAATTAATGTCATGGATATCCTTCAACACCAAACCAAATGTTCTTCAATAGTCCATGGTGGGGCAAGCATATACTTTGGAGGTACCATTCTTGTCTTTTCATTGTTAACATAAACTTAACATTTATAAACTTTACTTTTGCATCTGAGTGACTTACATCTGCAGTGGTTGTGTTAGGAATCTAGCTTTTATAATGTTAACTTTTCAACCCAGGTACTTTTGCTTTGGAGATTTTTTTGGTTTTTTGGGGTTTTTTTGTTACGGTTTCAGAAGTGAAATATACTGTGTTAGAGGTGTGCACAAAAAACATTTTGCATGTTTTTTTGTCTGTGTGAATTCTACTTTTTAGCAAAATAAAACCCCCAAAAGAATATGCACATACAGATTTTTCTGTGTAAAGTTTTTTCATGTGACATCAAAAGTAGCTTACTTCTATATGACCATGGGTAGAAGTTTGAGACAAAACAAAATATCTTATGGAGAATAAACTCACTTGCTATATTGCTCAATAGCAGTTCAATCAGCTTGTTTAAACAGCTTGTGTGTCAATAATACAAATGTTTTGGATATGAAGGGCGTTTACTAGGTAAGTAATAAACTGAAGACTACATCTTGCTTTGTATTTTCTTAAAGTTTTGTTTATTTAGTGACATGGTGGTAAACTATTTCTGCTCTTTGTTTTTGTTTGTTTGATTCTGTCACCTGAATAGAGTGATAGAGTGCCCTGGCATCATCATAGCTCACAGCAACCTAGATCTCTTGGGCTCAGACAATCCTCTTTGCCTCAGCCTCCTGAGTAGTTGGGACTATAGGCACCTGCCACAATGCCCAGCTAGTTTTTTTATTTCTATTTTTAGTAAAGATGGAGTCTCACTCTTGCTCAGGCTGGTCTCAAAGTCCTGATATCAAGCAATCTACTCACCTCAGCTACCCAGAGTGCTAGGATTACAGGCATGAACCACCATGCCCAGCTATTTGCTACCTTTTTAAAAAAAGATGGGGTATCTTGCTCTTGTTCAGGCTGGTCTCAGAATCCTGGCTTCAACTAATTCTCCTGTCTTGGTCTCCCAGAAAGCTAGGATTATAGGAGTGAGCCACTGTACTGGCCTAATTTATTTTTATTCTGCTATAAATGGCTTTATTTCTTAAAAAGTTGCTATATTTCCTTTGATATCATTTGTTTTCAAGTAAGTTCAGCATAAAACCCTCTCATGGCATTAAAAAAAAAAATAATAAAGATCCCTCTGAGGACGCTTTACTTAACAAAATAAATTCATTCTTTTTCAAGTTAGTCTGTTTCTGGGCATTACTTAAAAGTAGAGGGAAATTTTTTCACAGTTTATTTGATTTTTATTTATTTATTTTTATTTTTATTTTTTTTGAGACAGAGCCTCAAGCTATCCCCCTGGGTAGAGTGCCATGGCATCACGCTCACAGCAACCTCCAACTCCTGGGCTCAACCGAGTCTCCTGCCTCAGTCTCCCAAGTAGCTGGGACTACAGGCACCCGCCACAACGCCTGGCCATTTTTTGGTCACAGCCATCATTGTTGCTTGGCGGGCTCGGGCTGGGGAATCGAACCTGCCACCTTAGGTGTATGTGGCTGGCGCCTTAGCCGCTTGAGCCACAGGCGCCGAGCCAGTTTATTTGATTTTTAGCACCTGAATCAGATTTTGAAAGAGCTTTGCAATTAAAAAAAGAAATAAAATCTCATTATTTTAGTGCTTTTTAAAGCTATAGAATTTTTCAAAAATAGATAATAGAGAAACAGGCTTATAGGATTATAAAATTTAAAATTGGAAGGAATCTAAGAGATCATCTAGGCATTTTCCAGATTCAGGAACCGAGGCCCAGAAAGGGGAAGTGGCTTCCTCAGTGAACATGACCAGCTAGGGAGGCAGCCAGGTGCCAGTGGAATACACTTGGACTTTGGCACAGTAAAACCAGTGTTTAGATGGAGGCTGTTTTATACCATTTGAGTGATATTGGGAGAGTCTCTCTAAAGCCTGTTTATCTGGAAATGAAGGATATGACAACTGCCTCACAGGAATATTTTGAGAACCAACTGCAATAGCTTTGGGAAGGAAACGGCAATACAGATGTTAGTTGTTACTATCACCAGTAAAGTGGGGTCAAACCCCAAGTTCCTCACTCCTTCATTTTCTTAACTCCTCCACCTTGCCCATTCAGAAAAAATCCATGGGAAAATCAGCAGCGAAAATAAATAATAGATAGTCCAGAAATATGAACTATAGAAATTAGAATTTGGTATAATTAACTTGTACCAAAATTCCTCCCCTTTTCACTAAGGACCTGTGGGCAGAATAAATATTGTTTGTTCATTTGCTTATTCATACATTCTTTCAGCAAATATTTACTGAACATCTACCAGGTGCCAGGTCCTGCTCTGGATACTGACAACATGACAGTGCATATAACAGACAACAACTTCAGCTGTCATGGAACTTATAGTCTAATGGGCTGGAATCAGCCAAACAAGATAAATAACTAAAATATGTCAGATTAGTTCAATGGAGAAATATTTTGACTAATTCAAGCTACTTTACAGGGTAACACTGGCATCAAGCAGAACTTAGACTCATTAATGATAAAGACATGGCCTAAAGAATCAGCTCTGAGGCCAGGCCTGGTGGCTAACGCCTGTAATCCTAACACTGTAGAAAGCCAAGGCAGGAGGATCATTTGGGTTCAGGAGTTTGAGACCAGCCTGAGCAAGAGTGAGACTCCATCTCCACTAAAAAATAGAAAAATTATAAGGGGCTCTTCTACAAATGTAACTTTATCCTGGGAGTGAGAACAATGTAACCTAAATATTGTACCCTTGTATTAATTTGAATAAAGTTTGAAAGAAAAAGAAAAATTAGCCAGGTGTTGGAGTGAGCGCCCATAGTCCCCACTACTCAGGAGGCTGAGGTAGGAGAGTCACTTGAACCCAGGAGTTTGAGGTTATTGTGAACTAGGTTTACACTACTACACTCTAGCAGAGGAACAGAGTGAGACTCTGTCTCAAAAAAAAAGAGCTGAGGCTCGGCGCCTGTGACTCAAGCGGCTAAGGCGCAGCCACATACACCTAAGGTGGGGGGTTCGAATCCCCAGCCCGAATCCGCCAAACAACAATGATGGCTGCAACCAAAAAATGGCCAGGCGTTGTGGCGGGCGCCTGT